CATCTCGTAACTGGAATCGCAATCCAAATTCATCGTCCATGATTACCAATCCTTTAATCATCAAAATTCAATTGCACCGGATTAACCGAATGCTTGTTGAAACATCCATGTCTTCAATCTTTTCCGAAACACCATCAGCGAGGGGGCTGATCTTACCTCTATGGGGAGGGTGTTCCAAAGCCGAGGGGCCACCACAGAAAAGGCCCTGTCTCTCGTTCCCGCCAGCCGCACTTGTGAAGCCGGCGGGATAGAGAGCAGGGACTCTCCAGAAGATCTTAGGGTCCTGGTGGGCTGATAGGCTGAGATACGTTCGGATAGATAAGTTGGGCCAGAACCGTTTAGGGCTTTAGAGAGGTTTAGTAAAGGATAGTTGCCACGAGAGGTTTAGTAAAGGATTGAATGACACATGATGCTACAAATGAGAACACACAACACTTTGATTTTTTATTTTTTTTTTTTTTATTTTTTTTTTTTTCTTTATTTTTTTTTTTTTTTTTTTTTTTTCTTTTTTTTTTTTTTTATTTTTTTTTTTTTTTTTCCTAAAGGCCAACGCCAGCACTTTGAATTGAGCCCGGTAGCAGATTGGCAGCCAGTGGAGCTGGTGCAGCAGAGGAGTTGTATGCTCCCTGCGCTCCGCTCCTGTTAGTATCATGGCTGCCGCCCGTTGGACTAATTGGAGCTTCCGGGCTGTCTTCAAAGGCAACCCCACGTAGAGAGCGTTGCAGTAGTCAAGACGGGATGTAACCAGAGCGTGGACTACCGTGGCCAAGTCAGACTTCCCAAGGTACGGTCGCAGTTGGCGCACAAGTTTTAACTGTGCGAATGCTCCCCTGGTCACCGCCGAAACCTGGGGTTCCAGGCTCAGCGATGAATCCAGGATCACAATTTAGATATATGTTCTAAATTGTTTTTAAGGTTTATTAATAGTTTAATTTAATTTTCATTTGGATCTTTTGCATATTTTAATTATATAACTTTTATTTACTTTGTAAGATGCTTGCTTTAGCATGTATCAATACAAAAAATAATAGCAGAGACTACAACCACCATAGTACTGATGTCTTGAACCGCCAAGTTCCCACTGGTGTGTTGGATTTTGTTTTGTTGGAACTACTACAAGTGGGGCAATACATGAAAATCTAAAGGGTGTTTTGCCCTTCCCCTAGTAACCTAGACATTGATGGATCACACACACCTCTCATCCCATAGTGTCCTCCTTGGGGAAAAATTCACATGCACACCCCAGCAGAATGAACTTTTCCTGTAGATATAACTTGCAAAGCATCCAAGAAAGGAGCAAGACATATCCCAACTCATTCCCATTCTCCAGCTGTATTTCACAGGCTTTTTGCTACATAGCTTAAAAGGGAAATTATGTGGGGAAGTTTGATCATTTTATGGTCAGGAGAAACTTCTGACCAATGTAATGATGTAAAAGGTAATTACAATGGTGTGAGTCAAGCTATTCCATTATAATTCATAAACAGTATGCCAATCTGTGTCTCCTGCAGAGATGCACTCCGCAAAATCTTAAATTTGTGTGGCTGATAAACTTACATCCTGTTTGGATCCAACAAGACTATTTACTACACAGCACATGCTTGTTTTTTGCTTAAGAAAAAGGGTATTTCTAGCTATCCCTCCTTCCCTTGGCCTCACTGGTTATCTGTCTGCTTCTTTATTGCAAATGTTAGATATATTTGGCATAGCAGGAGGGCACGCGGTGGAACAAGAGCTGGGGCCAATTAAACTTACATCACTTGTGACATTTTATAATCATTAGAGGGTAGAGATATTTCACCTGGGATGGAGCTGTCTGGAGCAGAAAATGACGGCGGTTACTCACTGCCTTTGCTTGTTGGCTTTGGACAGGCAGTGAAACCTTTAAGGACAGAGGGAACATCTCAGCTAACAAGGCCATTTTTCTTAGTTGTTTCATTCCGAAACTACCGTGTCTCTGAACTACTTATTTGCCTTGTGCACTTTGAGCAGCATTGAGGAGTACAGATGGAAAACAGGGGCCTTCTAGTCAGATGCTTTCTGCATAGAGCACAAGATAGAATGGAAACAATTTCGCTTGATCCATTCAAGAGGAAAATGACAGGCAGAGTTGTCCTCTTTACAATGGTTCTTTCATCTGGGAGCTCTTTTTGTTAGACTTAGGAGTGCTTGGGAGCTTGGCCATCAGTGATGTGCTTCAAACTACAAGAGAGGAGATTCCATCTGAACATGAGGAAGAACTTCCTGACTGTGAGAGCCGTTCAGCAGTGGAACTCTCTGCCCCGGAGTGTGGTGGAGGCTCCTTCTTTGGAAGCTTTTAAACAGAGGCTGGATGGCCATCTGTCAGGGGGGATTTGAATGCAATATTCCTGCTTCTTGGCAGGGGGTTGGACTGGATGGCCATGAGGTCTCTTCCAAATCTTTGATTCTATGATTCTATGCGTTGAATCAGTTATATGCCTGGGCTTTAGTCCAAAATTTAAAGGAGCTATCCAGACTTTTGAACTTGGTAGATAGGTTTCAACACCATGGATAGTGCATTTAAGGGATTACATCCCAAAGCTCATTCATTGTCCCATTGACATGGAAGTCAACAGTTCCCTGTGTTTAGAATGTCATTGTATATGCACCGAGTTGTTCTGTTCCTGCTGTCATGATAACCAGATAATCTTTTCTCTGGTACAACAGCAGGCATCAGATAAATATTTTGGTGGCTACCACAGTCCCTCTACCAACCACTGAATTAGAAGGGGGGAAATTGCACCTGGAGTGCTCTAGAACATATGAGCCTCCTCTAAAAGCAAGGTGCATGTTTCCTGCAGACCTTGCTGGCAAGTGGAAATACAGTCTGTTTTCTTTTGTTTGCTGCTGCACTGAGAAATGCCATTGATCCATGGTATTGTGGAGGTGGGTACCCCTCCCCCCAAATACATAATTGAACTTTCATATCCCCACTCTGCACTGCATCTGAATGTATTTCAAATATCTGCTGTGTTGGGTATTCTGTATGTGCAAGTAGAATTCCGATTGTACAAAGCAGCCCCATCCGAAATAGTCCATTTCCACTGCTGTTTTTTTGCTTTAATCCAGGCCAGTCCAAGACACTTTAGTGCCTAAGGGCTAAAGAATAAAGTCAACCTCCACTTGGGGATTCTGTACAAAGAGACCAACTTATTTCAGCAGAGATTATGGGATAGCATCCCCCACCATAGCCACTATCATTTTTGTAATGAGTAAAGGCAACAGACTAGAATCTTTGACCCTGCAGGGCGGCATCACTTGGGCAGAATTTGACTGCATCCTATGGAGTCCTTGGACTTGTGATTTCCTCACACAATTTAAAATTCTCTGTCAAGCAGCAGACCAAGCTACAAATACAGAGATGCATAAGATTCAACCATGGCAATTAAAATGGCATTCGGGTGCTACCATTTTGTCATGTGAAAGAGATGCTGTTCAGAAGATCAAGACTGCATGGTGCATTCAAGAATGAGGTGCTGCACCCAAGTGATGGTTGTACCACTCTGCCCCATGACAGCACTGTCTCTGATTTTATTCCTAAGTCTGCTTCTTGACCAAAGTCTCTGGTTTTCTTCCTTATTGCTTTTCCAAACCACCTCTGTTCACAGGTTTAAAACCAAACAGCACAAACAAGCAGCAAAAAGGTTCAACTTATCATTCTGCTTGAATTCAATGACCCTTATCCTGAGAATAATGTGCCACCCTAACTCAGTGGCAGGCATGCACAATTTGTTACCTACCAAGCAGAAAGTAACTCACCAATTACCTGTTGTGTCTTCCTACAAGGTATTTGATCACACTGTTGCTTGGCAAGTAAAAGAGTAAAAATGGAGCAAGTTGCAGCACAGTCAGTTGCATTCAGTTTAAACTTGGAAAATGGAAGCCAGAAAGGCATTGGCCATACTGTCTGGCAGAGTTTAGGAGCTTTAGTCCAAAGAAAGTTATTTCCAGTATGTGCATACTGCTTTGTATATCAAATGTTAGAGAAAAGGAAGTGTCAGTGGCAGGACACTTTGTATGCATTCAGATGGGGGTGGACAGACTCCTACCTGCATCCCTGGAGACCTTTTGGTGGTCAATGGAAGTTCAAGTGTGGTGGTGGTAAGGAGAGTGATTCATTGACCTCCTGAGCAATGTTACAGCTATGGGGGATGAAATGCAATAATTGCATCCCAAATAAGAAGTCCGCCCCACCCCATGAAATTATCTTTCAATTTCCAAATGTATAGCATTATGGAAAGTGAAGCATTTCACTTTCCATTTGCTGTGTTCACATTCTCTTTGTAACCTTGCCTACTCTTTTACTGTGAATACCAAAACTGTTTTTCTAAATGCTCAGTTGGAATTTTAAGTTACTGTAATACAAGAAAATTGGGGTCTGAAAACAAGTGTCATTGAAGGGGCAGAACACATATTTTAGAGTCCAGTGCTCTCATTTCCCCCACTTTCTCATGTTACTTACGAAATATTCAGATGCTCTTGATTTAAATCAGGGAGATCAAATGTACTGGAGACAAAGGCCATTTTTCAGTCCCAAATTCCAACAGTAGGCTGCAATGGGTTTTCATTTACTTTTGTTTTCATCACTGCAAATTGTGGTTTAGCTGAAATTGTGGTTTTTATTATTTTACTTTTTCTCTGTTTCCTGACAAATAACACTAAACTGACACATTTCAGTGTTGTACAGTGTATGTGTGTGTGCTAATAATAGTTGAGGAGTATGTGATTTCTGGGTGATGTTTTAAAATCCAAAAATAATTTGAGACATTCTGGAGGTTTGGAGTATTCAAAAAGGCCTGGGGCCCTCAAAAAGATGATTGAAGCCACATATGGCTGAAGTGCCACGTTTTCCCCATCCCTGAAGGGTCAGGAGTCTAAAGAGCAAGAATACCAACATGCTAACCCAACCTTATTTTCAAGCCACATTAAGTATGTGTCACTGGGAGAGACTGCCATGTATTTATCCTTGCTGTCTGCAGATACTCCAAGCTGTCAGATCCTGCAAACTGGCTGAACATTAATGCCACAAATGGTCAGATCACTACTGCCGCTGTCCTTGATCGTGAGTCAGCCTACATTAAGAACAATGTCTACGAAGCCACGTTCCTGGCAGCTGACAATGGTAGGCCCAAGTTCCACATCGTTCATGCTTCAATAATGCTGTAATGTGATGCATTAACAGGAATGATGCCCTGACAAAGTTGTCAGTATAAGTTAGGGTTTTTTTTTCAGGTTTAGTAGTTTGAAAAAACAGAATGAAGGAACAACTTCCATGAAGCTGTAGTGGGACATTGCCAGAGTAAATTAAATGTGTGAAACATTCACAGACGGTGATGAAGGGGAAACTGGGGCAAGCAAGAAACAGACTGGAGAAAATGCAAAGAGTCCCACCATTTGTAGATGACTGGAGACTGCGGAAGGAAAGGTCAGGAGAAAGGGTTGACCTGCAGTGTGTTACTAGGCTTTCTTATATTACAGAGGCATAGAAAGGGAGATGTTCCATCAGGAAACCAGAAACAATCGAGGATGAGAGAGAAGGGATTAGAACTAAACTGTCAGCACACAGAACTAGAGGTCTCAAGCAAGACCTCTTATCTGTGGAGTGGACAGACCTTCAGCTTGTGAGGTCTATTTTTTTACTTCTGTAGGCCCTCAAGGTCCACCAAGTAGAGACAGATTCATAAAAGACTGAGAAAATTTGCCAACTTTTATAATGATAATGATGATGTAGCATTTAAACAAAGTTACAGAATATCTTATACAGGTTGGATATCCCTCAGCCAGAATTCTGAAATCCAAAATAATCAAATATTCCATATTGTCCAAATAATAGATAATGACACCTTTTCTTTCTGATGTTTCAATTGATACAAACTCCATTTCATGCACAAAAGGATTATAAATATTGTGTGTAAAATGACCTTCACATAGCCTGAATATGTGAAGGTCATATGGTGTATATGCAACACAAATGCATTTGTGTCCCATCTCCAAGATATTTCATTATATTTATGCAAATTTTCCAAAATCCAAAACTACTCTGGTCACAAGTATCTTGGATGAGGATTACATAACACATAAGAAGTCTATGAATATTATGGACTACCAAATAGATAAATAAATGTGTCCTGAGACAAATCAAGTTTGAACTCTCCTTAGATGTGAAGATGATTAAACTGAGATTGTCACATTTTTGGACATAGAAGAAGAAGTGACTCTCTAGAAAGGCAACAAATGCTTGGTAAGGTCAAAGACAGAGTCGGGGAAAGAAGACAACATTACAACTGGGTAAGCTCAGTCAAGGAATCCACAGTCCCTAGTGATCTCTCATTCATAGGGTTCCCTAAGTTCATAACAATTAATAGCAAATTATGGTAAATTTGCTGAGAAGTAGAATCAGGCACTACAGAGAGTATGACCATAAAATCGGAATAATTATGGAATGGAATCCTCATTTATTGTATTCTTGTAAAGAAGAATGAAAAGGTTTTTTTGCACATTTTAACAACATATTTGCATATACAAAGTAAGTTTTTTACACAAATCATGCAAATGATATTGGCATAAATTAAAACCGAATGGACTTTTAACAATGTCCTTTAAATCCCTGGATTGGAAAGCCATTGTAATAAATGGAAGGATGGATAATGAATCTGACACAATTTAATGTAGTTCGAAGGATATAATGGGAATTAGAGTGTTGCAGTTTGTGAAGGATGCAATCTAGACCAAGTTGATACTGGAGTTTATGACAATAGATAAAATTCCACATGTATTGTGATAATGCCCAATAAAATATACACGGGGATGTCCTGAATAGACATTGCATACATTTAAAGTTGTAGGTATAATATTACCGTAAGGATAGCATGTGATAAATATGTAAAATTTAGCCCTTGAAAAATATAGTCAGGAAGCCTTCTCAAATTCTGATATTGATATTTAATTAAACTGAAAATAATTGGAAGGCTTAATCATAAAAGAGAAAGTAACTTCCAGTATCCTAATTTTATTACAACCCAGGCTTCAAACTAATGGTATAATTACAAAAGGTTACAGGCTGTAAGGACAAAACTAACAGTGCGGTATTGGTTGAATATTTTTCTTGAATATTCACAAAAAACAATCGCTTTTCTACAACTTAAATCACATCCCATATTATTGTTTTACAGTAATTTTACAGTTATTTCAGTATTTATGTTCACTAGGTAGTAGATAACTACTTGAGTAAATGGCTTCTTTCTCCAAACCTGTATGATTAATAACATACTGTCAACCAAGAAGTTGAACAACATAGATGAATTTTGTATTCATTGTGTATTGATCTGGGATGAAGAACTTGGGGAAATAATTGGGTTCAACTCAATGTAACAGCTGGGTTTGGAACCGAACAAAATGACTGCCAACTGAGGGGATATCATGCCTTTCCTGCTGCAAAATGCCACTGAATTCAGTAATGATCAAACCCACCATGATGGATTGAAATGAATGACAGCAGTAGGGGAAAATAGCACTCTGAAGGCAGCTTGAAATTTCACTGAACCTCAGAAGCAACTGCTGTGAGATCTTGGCATCATGATTGATTATCAGGATCTAGAGTTAGATCCAGACCTAGGCATTCCCCAGAGTAGACTCATTGAAATTAGTGTGACTTGCATGAATCATGATTAGCTTCAGCCACATTGATTCCAATAGATCTATTTTAAATGTCATATATACTCATGTATAAATCACTCTCGTGTATTAGTCGAAGGCAGGTTTTGGGGACAAATTTGTGGGTTTTGATGTGATCCATGGATAATCTGTGGGTCATTCCAAAGAGTGGGGATAAGGCAATGCCATTTCAGAGGGCCAGTCACCCAATTTTCCCGGCCAGACATTCAGAAAGCCCAGAAGAAACATTGCAGTGAAGAAAGTAGGGGGAGTCAATGCAACTTTTAAGTTCCTTTAAAATGGACCAAACTTTTTCTTTTCACCACTATTCAGAGAAGGGTATGGTTCTTTTTAAAATAAGAGTTAAGGTATAGTACTTACATTGACTCATGGTTAAGTCAACCCAAGTTTTTGGGGTTGATTTGTTATTAACATTAATAGACTTATACATGAGTATATATACAATAGGCCAGTGGTTCTCAACCTGTGTTTTGGCCTACAACCAGTTTTCCAGCTGTTGGGATTTCTGGGAGTTCAATGCCAAAACATCTGAGGACACACAAGTTGCAAACCACTGCAATAGACTCAGTTAACCGGCACACATGAGGATTGGCAGATGGCAGATAAATGTACTTTTCTGTTTCTTGAGAGGTGCTATTAAAATAGGCCTAATACTGTACCCCATACTATACCATAAACACTGTACTGACTTGATATTCATGTTGAAATACAGTGCTTAAATGCAAATTAAGACAAACTTAATTTAATGTAATACCTTTTAATTGTATTATTCATATATTTTAATTTATATTTTAAGGTTTTTTTGTTGGAGTTCCGGTTAACTGAGTCTATTGAGTAGTATGTATATTTCTGAGCTGAATCATTTATGGATAGGATATATGACCCTAAATCCTGTTATTTATCTGTACAGGGTAAATATATTCAGTCAGTGAGATTTACTTATGTGTTGATTCACTATTCATTCAGTCATTGATTGAATAGATCAGCTTTAGTTGGGATTAACCAACAGGATGCCAACCATAGGATGCTAAAAAGAGTTACAGCAGACACATGCCAAATATAGTGTCATAATATTATTGGCTTGAGTGGACAAATTGCTGAAATGATCTGTTACATAAATCCTGCCATTTGGGATATGCTTCCCTTGTGAGAGTGGGCATGCTAGCTGGGGGATTCTGAGCATTGTAGTCCAATAACGTAATTTTCCCCAGCAATGGTACTGACAGTAATTGGTGACAGATGATTGTTAACTGTGGGTTTTGCTTTGCTGTGCAGCAAACGCAATAGCTGATCAAGGTGGAGAATCCAGTTGAATTTCTGTCCACAGCCAGTAAGCTAAAACAAACATTTCTTCACTTCCAGACCTTGAGGTTGGGAGAGTTAACGTAACAATCATGAGAAAGGGATTGAGAAGCCTTCATCGGGGATTCTGAGACACCTCGGTTGGCAAAAATAAACAAGAAACGCATGCTAGAAAGCTTTTATAGAAACACTCAAGAAGCATCAGTGGAGGTTTTGTGGCTTCTCCCTCTTTCTCTTTATTTGACTCTTACGTTTTAAAGAAAAACAGCAACAAAGAATTGAGAACACAAGCTTTAAAAACCTACTCAGGCAGGGCTGTTGGAGGAAATCATCAGTGTAGAGGCCTGGAACAAAACTGTCTGCAGTTCACTGGGGAAGGAAGATAGAAAGGAAGGAATGAAGGAAGAAGAATATTGAACAATCTGAAAGAAAATCTTCACTCCCCTCCTCCCGGCCCCAGCCCAATGGAAGAATGTTATTGAAGCATGCAGGCCTGGAGAGTTGAAGCAGCTAGGTAGGGTTTTGGCAAAAGATTATACAGGACAGTGATGGCTTTTAACCTTTATAAAAGTCAAGCTCAAAGTCAAGAGCCTGATCTGACAACTTACGTGCAGCTGACCCTTACTCCAGAGGCTTAACCATTGATCTCACAAGGCTCCCCATTGTGAAGAAAGACCGATGATAGGGCTGTCAATGTGTCTGGTCTTGAAGCATGCTTTTGAACCTTGAATATTTACCTGACAAGGAGCTGTTTGATGCCTTCAATCGCTCCCATCACTGCAGTATTATGAAACAAGGAAATAAATATTTGGTTAATGTCACCAGAAATTATTTATTATTTTTGCACCTGGGCCCTCTTTTGAAAAAGACTGTGGTCCTTCTAGTTAAGCATTCTGTTTCCAATTGAAACAAGCAACAGATGCCTCTTGAAGCATGGATGTAAGACAAGTAGTCTTCTTCCACTTTTTCCTTTTTCCACAGCATCTGGCACCTTTGAAATCTATTTTCACTGAACCAGAGTTCAGGGGGGAAATGGACTATTTTGCTCAGAATCCCCCAGCTTGCATAATTAATCATTGGCTATGCTAGTCGGCAGACCTGGGGATTTGTAATCCAAAAAAAATAAGTTTTCTGACACTGAGCATGCATCCTAGCTTTTATGAACATAGGAGAACAGTTTATCAAACTAGACCAGCATTTTCTTGTTTAATGAACTGTAGCTCTCCAAATTTTTGGATTTAGCTATTCCCATTCTCTGATCCTTTGGGATGGTGATGATATAGCCCAGGGGAAGGTCAAAATGGGAGCATAGCTCTGCCAAATAAAAGGTTATTCCTCTCAAATGAATTCTTCCTTCAATTCTGCCATTACCAGCTTTGCAGAGAGTGAATAGTGAAATACTGAAAACTATTCACACTTAAAACTCTAATATTTGCTGCATTCACTTTCCCTTGGTTACTTTGTCTTCCCATTTTCTTTGAATGCCTAAAACTATACACTGCACCCTGCATTTGCTCAGGACTGGGACCCGCAATTTCACCAACCTGCATTCAACACTATGTCTACTCTCTAGGAATTTTCTAGTTTTCCTAGTGAGTTCATTATTATGCAGGATTTCCAGTTTCCACTAAATTTGCGAGCATATCCCTGTGGATATTTCCAAATGCTCAACTGAAGTTTTAAGTTTCTACATTGCTTGAAATTTTGGAACTGAAACAAATTTTCATGAGGGTCAGAAATCTTACTGGAGGGATTATGTCTTTATTTCTCCCTTTGTAGGTAAATCTTGGTCCTCCTAATATTGCATTGTGTTCCTCAGAAATTGCCTAGGTGAAATGTATGTAAGCATTTCCTCCTAAGATAACCTAGAATCTTAGAGTTGGAAGGGTCAGCAAGAGACATCTAGTCCATCCCCCACCATTCAAGAATATTCACCTACAGCAGAGGTTGGATGCCCATCCAATCTCTGTTTAAAGACCTCCAAAGAAGGAGAGTCCACTTTCCCAAGAAGCAGTCTGTTTTTCTAAAATCAATGTAGTATCTTAAGAACTCTCAAAATAATAATTTCCAGAAGTTGCAAGCAGTGAAATGTATAGTCCACAAAAGTAATTTTTCCAAGCTCTGACATTCCCAGGAACTATGGCTTCCACTTTGTGTTCATCACTTTACAAACTCTGCAATTATCAATTTTGGTTCTATTTGTACTAGATTTTAAAGGGAGAATATGGAATGCTTTAGCCTTTCCACATTAGGCCTATGATCCCCAGGTTTCATCATTGCAGTTGACCTTCTCTTTATTCTTTACTGCTCAGTGGATATTGTGAAGGGCTTGGAAGACACCTCTGCCTCTAATATCGTATGTCAGCCTTAACCATTACTCATTGAAATAATTATGTCCCTCAACTAGGTATCCCTCCAGCCAGTGGCACTGGCACACTCCAAATTTATCTAATTGACATCAACGATAATGCTCCTGAGCTTCAGCCAAAGGACTCACAGATCTGTGAAAGGCCAAACCTGAATGTCATCAACATCACAGCCGCCGATGCTGACATTGATCCAAATGTTGGGCCCTTTGTCTTCGAGCTGCCAAGTGTGCCATCTGCCATTAGGAAGAACTGGACCATTACCCGGCTAAATGGTAAACTGGGCAGGCAACCCCTGGCAGTGTTTGTAACCTAGTTTATTCACAAGCACCAGAGGGGATCAGCCTTCAAACTTTTTGCTTTTTTTAAAAAAACTGAGCCTTCAAACTTTTGAACTTCTTTTTTTCCCACTCTCTGATTTCTTTATTTTCTTTCTTTCTCTTTTCTTCTCTTTTCTTTTCTTTCTTACCCTCATGCTATCTGACATTTATAGGCAAGATAGTTAATGACAAATTGCATGGATTGGGCCTTGAGCAGAACTCTTTGGAGCTTTCACTGGCACTCGTCTTCTCCACCCTCTAGGTTTTCATGCAGTTCATAATTACATACAGTTATCGGGACTGAACGAGGGATAAATCATCTGTAATAGCCCAGGAGGGAAAGCTATTATCAGTCTTCCTTATGTCCCATTTTTATTGTCATGAGCTGCAATCAGGATCAATGATCATTCCTCTGACTCTAATTGCATAAAAGTCACCCTCCTTCTGCACTTTAACAGAGAAGTAGCTCTAAGGTTGAGAAGATTCTTGGGGGCAAGATAGACTGCTGAAATCTATCTCAGTTGAAATCTGTCCCTACCAATGGAGCCACATGGTCAGTACACCAACCTTCCAAGAAAAGTACTTGGAAATATTACTGTCTGGGGACACAAAGCCATACTACCCTAATACAGTGACCAGGATCCTGTATCATCATTGTTAACTGATGACCTCCCTCTAGTAATGGCAAATAGCTGCTAGGGAAACCCCTTGGGTTCTTACCACAACTGTTCGTCCCAATGCACCAAGTAACTAGGAGTATGTTGTGAATTAATAATAAGTTGGAAGAAACCAAAAGAATAATCCAGTCCAACCCCCTTCCATGCAGAAACACACAATGAGAGTGCTCACAACAGATGGCCATCCAATCTCTCTTTAAGAGATGTTTCCAGAAAAGGAAACATCATCATCTGAAGCAGTGTATTCCACTGTCGGATATCTCTTACCATCAGAAAGTTATTCCCAATATTCAAGTGGAATCTCTTTTACTGAAATTTGGGGAAAATAGATTCTTCCTTAATTTCTCCACCTCCTGGTGTCCAATGATCCAAAAATGCTTTGACTGAAGCACTGCCAGGCTGCAAAGGGACATGTTTAGGGTCGTGTTTGTTCGTTCCTGACCATAAATGTGAATGCCTAGTAGTTAGACTATTGTAAATCCCACTTTCACCATAGTAACTGCTGGACATGATGTGTGTATACATTTGTGTGTATGTCTGTGTGTATGCTTAAGAACATGTTCTTGCACACAGGCAAAACCCCATGATTTTTTATCCCAACACAGTTGCTTCCATAGCAGTACGAAAACTAAATTATCCCTCCTCATATGCAAGGAGAAAACAGTTGGATATTCACATCACTCATCATTAACCCTGCCAACTTCTGCCATTTCCACACAGGGCACACAGTCCAAAATACAGAAAAGATTCTATAGTCTGCATGAATTATGTATTTTGTCTATGTTTTTCATAAATTATTCTGCCTCTCCCAGTTGTGGGGAAAGGGTTCTTTCTTTTTCCTCTTCTCTTTCTTTATCTTTTTAAAAGCATCATTGTTAATAAAAAACGGAATATCAGAAAATGGCACTGAAACGTTAAGGGTCACAGATAAGATAGAAACTCCATATTAGGGAACAGTCAAGATAACACATTCAGCCCTTCAATTGCAAGACTGAGTTTTGCAGCTTTGATTATTTATGGATTTGACTGAAATATTCTGGGTAGGAATCGCCAAGAACTTGACCATAAGATCATACTTGAAGACCTAAAGATTTCTAGAGAGAGCATCTCTCTAGGAATCTCTATGCCCTCCGGTGCAATTCTGCTGCCAACTTCTGACCTACAGTTTCCAAGAGAGGTGTTCTCCCAAGTTAAAAAGTCTTGTTTTTATTTTATTTTTCTCATTTTCATGGGGGTCCTGTACCCCTAACCCCTGTGAATGTGTAGGGCTGACTGTACTTACACACACATGCCCATTTCATATAGTTTCACACTTCCTATGAAAATTGCTGCATTTCTGCTAGCTCTACACAGAGACTTCCCCATGTAGTCACAGGAGCTTTACCATGTAGGCAAGTTCTAAGTACCTTCCTAAGTATTATCTCCATTTTGTCCATTACAGGTGACTATGCTCAACTCAGTTTACGAATATCGTACTTGGAAGCTGGTGTGTACGATGTCCCCATCATTGTGACAGATTCAGGAAACCCTCCGCTGTTTAACATGTCCATCATTAAGGTCAAGGTGTGTCCATGTGATGAGAATGGAGACTGTACCACCATTGGTGCCGTTGCTGCAGCTGGACTGGGAACCGGAGCCATTATTGCCATCTTGATATGCATCATCATCTTATTATGTAAGTGCTGTAGTAACATAGCATCTGTGTGCATTTGTAAACAATGATCATTCTATTTTCACAAAAAGAAGCCACAGTGCTCAGTGATTTAATAACACTGTGATGAGCCACACTCACCCTTCCTTTTCCTTGATGTGGAGAAGGGACACATGGTACAACACCCATCTCCTGGGGTTACAACATCCACTGCCACAATCAAGGTTCCCACAATTACTATTACCTCCAAAACATGACAGAAACTGTGTTGCTTTCTATGATATAGTATTGTGCCAGTATACCTTCCTGCATCATAGAATTGTGCAGGGCAGGATGTCTCTTCCCCTTCCAGAAATGAAGGGAAGAATTGCCCTTTGCAATTGTGATGGTTTTTGTACAACCTACATACACAAGGAGAATAGTTGAAACTCTTATCTTAGAGTTCTCAAGTCTCTGGAGTTAATGTAGACAATAATTTGATTCTATATAAGGAATCTTCACATGGTCGCACAAGAGGGCTGTAACACTGAGGAAGCATCCTAGAGGATAGTCACCATCAGGACTGCTGCCCTGGAGACTAGGACATGGAACAATGGCTTCAAACTACAAGAAAGGAGATTCCATCTGAACATTAGGAAGAACAAAATCTGGCTACCAGTTTTAAAAAACTCTAAAATTACAACAGCAAAACAACAGAGGGAATACAATCAGGGACATCTAATCACCTCTCAACAAAAGATTGCCCCCAGGTATTGCCAGCCCATCAAATGCTAATCAAGGTGGTCAGTTGAAACATTCACACCTAGCTCCAGCAGACAAGAGTTCTTTGTCCCATCCTGGTCATTCCACAGATATATAAACCCATTTTCCTACTTCCAATAGACCTCACTACCTCTGAGGATACCAGCCATAGATGCAGGCGAAACGTCAGGAGAGAATGCCTCTAGAACATGGCCATATAGCCGGAAAAAAAACCTACAACAACCCAGTGATTCTGGTCATGAAAGCCTTCGACAATACAACTTCCTGACTGTGAGAGCAGTTCAGCAGTGGAACTCTCTGCCCCAGAGTGTGGTGGAGGCTCCTTCTTTGGAGGCTTTTAAACAGAGGCTGGATGGCCATCTGTTGGGGGTGCTTTGAATGAGATTTTCCTGCTTCTTGGCAGGGGGTCGGACTGGATGACCCACGAGGTCTCTTCCAACTCTAGGATTCTTTGATTCTAGGAAAAGACCATACACAAGGGATTCAGAAGTGCTAAGAAATCACTTCCTGCAACAACCTAAGGATAATGGTGGTGAAGAGGTGCAAACAGGAGAGCAGAAGAAAGAGACACTACATGCTAGGGAAGAAGCCAACTTAATGGCAGCAAGAAAAGCAATAACAAAAGATCTTGATGGTAGAGGATTCATTGCTCAGGGGTGTAGTGGGAAATGTGTACCAGCCAGACAAGATGAATCAAGAAGAATGCTGTCTTCCTGCCACACATATCCAGGATGTCACCGACAAGTTGCCAAAGCTCATCAAGAGCATAGAGCAGTACTCCTTTTGTTTAATTCATTTGGGCACCAAAGACACTGAAAAAAATACTTTTGAGCAGAACACCTTGAGCAGAGCAGACTATGAAGCCCTGGGCAGAAAAGTGTAGAGTTTAGAGCACAGGTGGTCTTATCCGGATGCCATTAGTGAAAGATGGCATAATACACATGAAAAAGAAGATACTGCAGGTGAATGATGGCTACACAGATGGTGTTGTTGGAAGAGGTTTAGCAACATTTCTAAACATAGGCTCTCCAAAATATTTATGATGTGCTTGGCAGATAATTTTCTTTTCCAAAGGTGGAGGAAGGAAGAAGTGGATTAGCAATCTTGGACTTAATTCTAATCAATAGGAAGGAGTTGGTCACTAGAATCAAAACAATAATTTAGAGCAGTGGTTCTCAACCTGTGGGTCCCCAGGTGTTATGGCCTACATCTCCCAGAAATCCCAGCCAGTTTACCAGCTGTTAGGATTTCTGGGAGTTGAAGGCCAAAACATCTGGGGACCCCAGGTTGAGAACCACTGCTTTAGAGTTAGCAAGATGGATGGATGGCAGGCCTGTAGCGAGGGGGTGGTTTTAGGGGTTCAACCCCCCCCCCCCGAAATGTTTCAGATTTTTTTAAAAACCTGGTTTACTCATGAATTTTAACTGGTTAACCAAATCCCCATGCTTAGTCTATGAGATGCAAAAAATTAAGAGTCCCTCCAGAACTGCAAGCACTATCTCAAGCAAATATTGACAATTTATTCACACTGTCATTACTTGCAGCAATAACCGATGTAGTGAAGCAACCAAGTTGGGGGTGTGTGTGTTGAATGCTCTCATTAAGGAGGCCAGACTTGGTGGAGGTGGTTGACAGGGGCGGAGCTGCAGGCTATGGAAGGCTGCTCTGCCCCCTGCTGTGCTCTTTGCTTCAGCGTGAGCTAGAAGGCAGGTTTCAGACCCCCCACACACACACACAAAAATTTCAACCACCGCGGCAAAATTTTCAACCCCCCCCCCCTGCAAAATTTTCAACCCCTCCCGAATTTTTTTTCTGGCTACGGCCCTGGCTGTGGGACAAACCAAAAAACACAATCAATCGCAATCCTTAGTCCTCAACATTTCTTGAAGCTCAGGGAAATGCTAGACACAATCCTATTGCTACAGAAGTTGAAGGACATTGGAAACATCTGAGAAAGCCCATGTGATTGAACAATAAACCTGAGGGGGTGAGTAAAAAAGAGCATGTAAAAAAGAAGGCTGATCCACTGAAAAATAATGTACATAATAGCTCAAACTTGCAGAAATACTGTTAAGTAAAGCTTAAGCTCAAACTGAGCTGAGACTGACTTGGAAATCAAATGACAATAAAGATGGGAGGGGTCTTCTGATATATCCAAAATAGAAGAATGGCCATCCCCAAATACTAGAGGAACACTGACAAACTCACCCCATACCATCATTTTTGAGAATTACAGTGTCCAGAGGAGGGTGAGTAAAATGATCAAAGGTTTGGAGATAATAATAATAATAATAATAATAATAATAATAATAATAATACTTTATTTATATTCTGCCCTTCTCACCCTGAAGGGGACTCAGGGCGGATCACAAGTACACATACACAGCAACCATTCAATGCTGTTTGTATAGACAGTACACAGACAGACAGAAAAGGAGGTTTTTGTGTCATGCCATGGATGGTTGGGCTCGAGTCCACAGTGGGTGCAGTCGCTCCAGTCATCAGGACTTCCTCATTCCAGCATTTTCTGAGCTCTTCTTCTTTATGGCGTTTTGGCGGTACCTGATTTCTCTAATTACTTCTAAAGCTAGTTTTGAACTGCTTAGGTAAACAGTGGGCAGGGCTGACAGTTGGCTGCCCACGCCAACCCAGGGTTCAAATTTGTAACCTTTCAGTTGATAGATATTATAGCTGCTGATGATTTACCAGCTATGAGGAGTAGTTTAAAGAGCTTGCAGAAGAGAAGGTTGAGAGGAGACATGATAACAATGTATGAATATGTGAGAGGATGTCATAAGGAAGAGGGAGCAGGCTTGTTTTCTGCTGCCCTGGAGACTATGCCTCAATGAAACCATAGGTTCAAATTACACGACAGTAGATTCCAATTGAACATTAAAAAGAACTTCTTGACTGTAAGAGCTGTTCAGCAGTGGAACTCTCTGCCTCAGAGTGTGGTGGAAGCTCCTTCCTTGTAAGCTTTCAAACAGAGGCTGGATGACCATCTGCCAGGGGTATTTTGATTGTGGTTTTCTTTCATAGCAAGAGGTTGGACTAAATAGTCCATGTGGTCTCTTCCAGCTCGGATTCTTGCCAGGAAAACCTTGCGAAAAGTGTGTGTTAGGCTTGCCTTAAGTTAGAAATGTCTTGAAGGCACATAACAATTGGGAAAAGAAAGGATTTGTCTGCCTTCAGGTGCCCCCCACCCTCTCCAAGAACAGAGTGGGGCACAACATACAGAGAAAAATTATCTGGATATGCAGAAGCCAGCAAACTCTTATCCAAAAAGGCAAAAATCTGCGCCTCCTTACCTTTTATTTCTTGCTTTCCAAGAGCTATTGCACTTTTACTCACTCAAGTGAGGACAAGAGGACTGGACAGCTAATTACAGCCTCCATATGTCAACTGGCTGCCCTAACTACTTTCTAGCAAAAAGAAATTATTTTCTGATAGTACCATATTTCTGTAACACTTTCCCCCTGCTCTATCTGGCATGCATAACTTTTATCTCTGACCAAAAATGAGAAAAGAAAACACCTGGAAGGGAGAAGAAATGGGTTTAAAAAGGGAAAAAGCTCTCATGTATTTACGTCGACTATTCAAACCTTTTTCTTCCCTTGTCTCTCACAACAAGTAAAGTGCCCGATGTGTGAAAACTATATTATAATAGTCCCCCTTTTTAAAAAAAAATGGTGAGAGGGTTGGTTACGTCCATAGGAGAACTGTTCCATTAATGCTTTTACAGCTACCTTAAGTAAGAGAATTTCAAAATGTCAATAGCAGATGCAGCTCAAATTATTTTTATATGTGCATCTGAACAAAAGGCTCTGTCATTGCTTTAAGATCTGTTTTCACTCTGCATGTTATTTTGGGAAATCTTTTGTTTTCTCCCATTACATCCCCTCCACTTTTCTGATGCTTTTTTCTCAAGAGTCTTCTGAGTAGCAGTTTGGACCTCAAGCAATGATTATCCCTAAGACAGTTTGCTAGATAATGTATACAATTTGAGGGAGTGGGGAGAAAGAGCAGGAATGAAGATATACAGAAAGGATCAGGTCCCCATGGCTTCAGTGCCTCCCATATAGATTCTCTCTCTGATCTGCAGGAAGAGTTTGTCTTAAGGCCAAGTTCATAGCCGTTCAGCGTTTCCTCTGCTCACCTTGGATTTTGTTCAGATTTGTTTTTCCTGCTGCTGTTGTTGTTTAGCAATTTACTCCTCAAACCAGCTTTAACAAGGTGCTTGGGTTTTTGGAAGGTCTATATAT